TCATCAGACTAATCATCATCATCATCATCATCATCATCATCATCATCATCATCATCGTCTTCCACAGCATGACATCACTGTTCAACACCGACGCTTGGCTGTCGTATAACCATGATTTATTTGAAAGCTCCATTGTGAAGAAAAGAATGAGGGTGGACGGAAAAGCGATTTACTTCAATCTTTTTGAGCTGCCTAAATCTCTGTACACTCATTCAGGCAATCTGGATAGAAACTGACAACAAGGACGCCACTGACATCGGTTGGCAGCCATAGTTTGCAGCGTCTCCAACCAGGAGCAGTGTGGATCAGGCGGCCCCTATCATAAAAGGCGCGTAGCACCGACAGCACCCAAACGTCTCTTGATTCCTTTCATACCCTTCTGCCAGGTCAGCGATTGGCAACCTATCTGCTTCCGCCACTCTGAATTGGGCGTGAAAAACAGCACTCTCTTCGGCAAACGACGGTTAGGCCAAAGGGAGAACGGCCATCTTGAATTTTAATCCGAGATTTTTAGATTTAAGCGGTCAGCCTTCGACCAACCTTCAGCCACATGTGTTCGCTTTCAGAATAGGCATTTCACTTAGATCCAATAACCAAATGGACCGTCAGTTTGAAAACGGATGTACCATTGAAATCAGCACAACTTTTGAAGTGCCTGCCGCAAAACGACCGCGTTTTTTCTAGTTTTCTGGAGCCAGGCACATCTGTACGCTAAGAAATGCTTGCCTGTAGCATTAATTGTACAACAAGTATCGTGACTGACTTTACTGACTATCTACCTCGGCTCACATGTGGATTTAAAACCTCGGGGAGATGCACTGACGTGAATATGTCAAATTCTCACCATACGATTCTCACTAATTGATCTGCAAAGTATTTAAGGTCAGAAAATATTTCACCTGGAAAATACATTACGTTTTGCGCCTTATTATACCAGAACGCAGCTTTTGTAAGAAGTAATTTTTTTTCTGGCATATGTTTGGATGGAAGGTCTGGTAAGCAAAGTTCACTCTTTTTAGACGGCTCATTAAATGGACCAATCAGAGATGGCTTTTTCCAAGGGATTGATTCTTCCATGCTCTTTACTATTTTAGTACACTTCAAAGGAGCAGCTATGTGTTGGCGGGCGCCCTTCTGAAGAAGATGGTTCTTCTAGGGAAGAACAAACGCAGGCAGTTCTAACGATAAACTAGCAACTTATTTCATATACGTTTTCGTATTTTTAATTCTTCGAGAATGTTGGATCGAGGGCTGGTCTGCACTACGCAGAAACCCTGATCTTTCCATTACATTGCTCGGCCTACACCAGTGGGATATCATCTGCTTTCACGTTTGTTAACTTGTAGCCTTTAGGATATCCTATCAGTCTGTTTTCACTTCTTTAATCAACTGAGACATTGCAGGAATCGGTGAAGCTGAGGAGTGCTTTGCGCCGAAGTAGGTACATTAGAATCTCTACAATGTTTCCATCAAAGCAAAGAGTCACTTATCAGCATATTGAAAATGCCAGCAAAATAATCCTCGTGGTACGGTATCTTCACGGTATTTTCGCTAGAGTAATATCTGAAATTTTGTTGCAGTACCCCTGATTGTATTCCACATCACTTTTGATCCCGTTTCCCTTTTTGTCCTGTCACTTGACCTGCGCAGTACCCTGTTCGCTCTCCCTGTTTACAGAATGCCGCAGCAATGGTTCAGGCCATGATGGATCACGGTGCTAACCCAAATCTGACTTGCAACGGGCACACGGCTCTAACGCTAGCAATCGCCTCTGGAAATGACTTTGTGAGTCTTCAGGCTTTTGTTAGACGAAAGCATTGTTCACCATCTACATGATACACTTGTGGAAGGGAATGGTAGGCATGGAAGCCGCGTGCATCTCTCTGGGCAGTTATAACAAGTTGGTTGTATTTGTGAAGGTTGGAGAAGCGGTTAATTTCTACAGAACGGATAATATGTTTGTTAGCAAACTCGTAGAATGGTCCTAAATCTGTCCAGCCACCATAACACCTGGGAAGATCACGGGGTCGATGAAATTTCACTCAACATACGAAGAGAACGTCCGCATGACGAAGGCTGGGGAAAGGCGTCTGGTGATAGAGCAGAGTGTTTGTAGGTCTTCATGGTTGACTCAGATATACTATCTTCCCCTCTGAACAGGTAAACGTATCCACACTTGAATAATGGGATTGGCTTTTTCATTGGCTCAAACTAATCTCTCGTCATTTGCTTCATCGGATGATGGAACACAGAATCTGTTATTTTTGTTCATGATGTCAACGGGCTTGAAGAGGAACTTGCCAGCTGACGAGACAGGCACAATTCGTTTGCCACTAGCAGCTTCTGCTGTGCAAGGCTTTCATGATGTAATCCCTTGTGGACTGGTGTGGTAGGTGCATGTAAGCCTCGTGTCGCCCAGTGTCCTGTTCGATAAAGCTAGAAGGCGATTGGTGAGGAGACAACTTGAGCTTACCATGTTGAGCCACACACCAGCATGAACGAGTATTGACCAATCGATGCTCACATAACATGGTCACAAAGAGATAACCGCATTCACTCCCACTATATATGCACAAAGTGAAAATAAGCTACTTATTAATTGTATGTGAATACCTAGAGTGTTGCATCAACATACGTGCAAATCAGCTGGAGATCATTAATCACGTGATTTCTCGGCGTCTTGGAGCTGGCCACGTCATATGTTACGAGTTTGAACCACGCACTTGGATTTTCCCAGTTAGAATGTCTCTGGGTTCTCTCTGGTATCAGAAAAACAAATGAGGTATAAACGGAAAGACATGAAAATGAACCTACAAACTCTGTCGTACTGGAAGAATGTTCCCCTCGACGCAGCTTGCTTTGAATAAGCAAAGTTGGAAGGAAAATGACCCGATTGGCCTGTAAAGTTCATCACGTAAAATTTGGACTAGAAATACTTTGATGACATACAATTCTGTGTCAGTCGTGGGTTTTGCTTGCCGGTAGCCTCTAGTATTCGAGGGGTGACTGTGCCTTTCTGAGGGACACATTGTTTATATGGTGTGTGGCTGTAAACTCTTCACTTGCGTCTCCATTTAGAACCAACTTAGTTGGTAACTGCGTGTATTTTGCAGCTGAACTTTCTTTTTTTCGGGCGAAGGAAGACGTTGGTAAAAGTACTAAGGCATGTGGTTCACATAGCATGGCTTTCTTCCCTGCAATATGGCTTTTCCTAGGCATCCTAGGAGATTTACCAACTTAAAGGCCGAGTTTAAGCCTCCTTTGATTTCTGTTGCTTCCTTCCGTAGGCAATTGATATTCTTCTGAGGTATTCACGAACAAACGTCAATTTGAAATTGACTCACGGCTTAGGAAGCGCACTCGCCGTGGCTGCGACTCGAATGTTTGAATACCGTCGGGATGGACAGACTCGGCTGAAATTGTTGAAAAAGTTGGTAGAAGTCGGTGGTGCGTCCACAATAATGCGCTTTCCAATGTCGTGGATGTCAAGTTTGGGTGAGTTTTTGTTTAACTCAACTTTTTTTGGTTTTTGTGGGATTTCTATAGCTCATGTTCACATCATTCTGGTATGGGCAGTCCTCTTCAAATCTTGGCACAATTGTTCTGGTGGGGACTCCTTGGTGTAGACATAAATGGGAAAAGTGCTGGATTTGAGTTTCACTCTTATTAGAGCTCATCAGAAGTTCATGTTCTTGGATAATAAGTCACGTGACAATTCCTATGCGTCCAGCGCGCCCTGTCTCGCACTCCAGATGTCAAGTGCATGGGCTAATAAGTCACGTGACAATTCCTATGCGTCCAGCGCGCCCTGTCTCGCACTCCAGATGTCCGGAAATCCAGCCTTGACAAGACCAAGGGCATACAGTACTGATGGTGAGAGCAAAACCCGATTGGTGTGGACTCATGGACGTGGTTACTTCTAAGAAACGGGGTCCAAGTGGATCGACCCACGTTCCTAGTGTATGATGCACGTTTAGGTTACAAGTCGAGAGTCACTCAAAAGCACCCTCTGGTCTACTACTCATTTGTGATGCCGGAATTTCAGTTTATTAAGTGAGATACTCATAAGTGAAACTTGGCTAATTTACTAGTTATACGTTATAAATTATAAGTACACAAAGCAAGACACCAGAAAAATCTCGGACTTCCCGTTCACCAGATAAGTGCTTTTAAGTGTACATACACTCATCTGCAAACTAATTAGGTTCTTTCGAGAGACTCACCTGGAACCCAGTTGAATCTCTCGTTTATGATGTTCCCAGGCAATTGAATGTGAAAAGAACCAAATTAATTTGCAGATGAGTGTATATTCGCTAATTTTGTGCAATTTGGTTTCAAGTAGAACATAAGGTTGACGGAAACCCGGGGACCGCGCCTACCTGATGAGCCCCAAGAAGGGCGAACCCGGTCGTGGGCTGTTGATGGATTTCCAGCAACCTTATCAGTAGATCAGTAGTACAAATATTTGCTTTCAAGTGTCTTCTAGAATGTGGGCATGACTTCAAAAGTCCTGTCAGGAAGGCCAAATTCTTAAAACTAATCTTATAATTGTGTCAGGCGGCTGAGTATACCCATTGTAGTCATGAGAACGAAGAAGGTAGCGAACAAAGCTTGTTTTCTGTGATTGTTCATCTTGGCTAATACATCACAAATTTATATGGTAACAGAAATCACGTGGAAAAGGTTAAGATCGGGGCTACACTTTAGAGAAATAGAAGTCAAAGGA